AGGAACAAGACTCTTACCCAAAGAGTCCATTTTGAAAATCAATATTTTACATTAAAAGAATTAATTAGAGAGGCGCCTGGGTGGCTCAGTCGGTTAAGAATCCGACTTTGGCTCAGGTCACAATATCATAGTTGCTGAATTCGAGCTCCACATCAGGCTCTGTGCTGATAGCTCAGAACCTGGAGCCTGCTTCTGATTCTGTGTGTGTGTATCTCTCTCTTCCTCTCCCCTGCTCATGCTCTGTCTCTCTCTCTCTCTCTCAAAAATAAAAACATTTAAAAAAATTTTAAAGAAAGAATTAATTAGAAACTGCTGGGGCATTATTATTTCTAGTAATAAGTCTTAGTTTATCTGGTGACAGCTTTTACTACAAACTACATACCATCAATCACCTGTGGTCACACAGAACAGGGGTTACTATGCTTATTCATGCGGAACAAACAGTCCTTCTGCAAACTTTGAAAATGACAAGCAGTAGAAAAGACAATGTTCATTCCATTTTCTTTTCAACAACACCAGTATAGATCCTTACTAATTCAACAGAGGTAGCATTTGCTTCAACTATAAGAGGCTATTGATGCAGTTAGAGGGATTTTTGAGCCTACGTGCTGTGGGGATTTCCATATCAAATTAGACAATGTGCAACCTAATGGCAGAGTCCCAGATTGCCTGGGACTAAGAATTCCAAGTATGTGTGACTTTTAGTGCCAAAACTGGGACATTCCTGGGCAAACCATGACAATTGGTTATTGTATGTACAGTCTTGAAGTTATCTTGCACATGGTTACTTCTCTATCATTTTTTTCCTAAGGGCCTCCACACCTACATCCCTTAAATCTGTCCCTATCCCTTGTCCATGTCCCATCCCGCCCATTTCTAGCCTGAGAACTTGGGTACTTGAGCACCTTCCTCCTCCTGAAGTAAATGGACTGAGCCAACTAGTCACTGACCCTGAGCTGTAAGTCCATGTGGTCCATGAAACTGAGGTGAAGCAGTCAAAGAGAAGAGATCCTGATCTTCTCTCTCATAATTCAAGACACTTAAAAAATGGTTCCCACTACTTTGGAGTGTTTATGAAATATAAATATTACAAGATTTCTGCCTCAGACTGTCTAAAGATAAGACTAAGAACCCCATGCTTGCAAAGATTTCTAGTAATTACAAAGTTCAGGAAGGCTCACAAACCCTGTTTAGAACACAGTGCTCCTCCAGGGGTACCATGAAATGTGTTTTTGCTGCAAGTGCAGTTTATAATTGCATTGCCAGAATGACGACACTTTTCAGGTATTTTACTAGGTAGGACTGATTTTTGTAATACATAAACCCAAGTTAACACAAAATACTTTGATCCCAAGATGTTGAGACTGTAATGCTTTGTTCAGACCATCATTTCAAATGCCTGCTGCAAAAGTTTTACTTTATTGGTCATGTTCTAATTGAGTGTAAAGTAAGCTTGAAACCTATTTATGTCACACCAATTTATATTTATAAATGTTTGCTTTTAATAGTGAACTAGTAGCATATTATGTCCAGAAATTCCTGTAAAAATCACCTGTTGGGCTTTGTCTTTGTTATACCAATTACTGATATCAACAATAAGTAATTGAATATGTATACACATGTAAGGCTCAGGGCTAGATGTTAGACTTTAGGAAAGGAGAAAATTTTAAATTACTGTATTCCTTTATAGACTTATGGCCATTTGTACTATTCTTGTGTGATCACACTCTCAACAGGGATTTATACACGCATAAAAACTAGTTTCGAGGTGTTCAAAGATCACTCTAGAAGTCCATTAGAAGTCCATTCACAGACCCTAAGCCTCTAAAATGAGCAAACATTTCTTCCTTCTGAATTACACATGGATTAGAAATATAGGACCTTCCTATAAATACTTATCTTGGAAGCCAGTGAGTCCAAATGATCCCATAAATTAATCTGTGGAAGTCTATTCTAAATGCATGCCACTTTGGCAATATCCCTGCCAAATGAAGAGACTCTTTAGGTACCTAAAAACATCTAGCAGGTGGTTTCCATATAGTGTCAACGGGCTATTGGAAAATTAAAGAAGAAACGTGTCAAATAAAGTAATACAAGTTTTAACATAGGGGCTGGAGCTTCTTCACTCTCCCCATATCAAGTTTCATGCAGTCATTTTAGCTAAGTGAGACTCCTTATTCACAAAGTCTGTAGATGTGAAAAACATCAAGATGGGCTATATCTTTGAAAACTTGTGAGAAATCTTGACTAGTGTGTGTAAACACACACACAGTGAAAACCTCTCTTTTTCATAGACTCTCTTGGAAGAGCTGTGGAACATCTTAGATTCACCTACATTTTGTAAACTCAGCACCCAACTCACAAGTCTCCTCTGTAAGGAGCCTTCTGTTCATTTCTGCCATTTAACACTTAATATGAAATGTATTGATGGTTCCTTTGCACAGATAATTCCTACATAAACTCAGTATGTATTTCCATTACACAAGGAGCATTAATAAAGTTGTCTCAGGTCACCTGGGTGGCTCAGTCGATTAAGCGTCTGACTTCGGCTCAGGTCATGATCTCACAGCTTGTGGGTTTGAGCCCAGTGTCAGGCTCTGTGATGTCAGGCAGAGCCTGGAGTCTGCTTTGGATTCTGTGTCCCTATCTTGCTCTGCCCCTCACCCACTCTGTCTCTCTCTCTCTTTTCCTAAATAATAAATTTTAAAAAACATTTTAAAAGAAAGTTAAAAAAATAGAGTTTTCTCAAATTGTGTCCATCCAGAATGAGAAAATGCAAAACTACTCCTGACCTTTGAAGAATATAAGACACATACACGGGGGCGCCTGGGTGGTTCAGTCGGTTAAGCGTCCGACTTCAGCTCAGGTCATGATCTCACGGTTCGTGGGTTCAAGCCCTGCATCAGGCTCTGTGTTGGCAGCTTAGCTCAGAGCCTGGAGCCTGTTTCGGATTCTGTGTTTCCCTCTCTCTCTGACCCTCCCATGCTCACGTTGTCTCTCTCTCTCTCCCTCTCTCTCTCTCTCTCTCTCTGAAATAAACATTAAAAAAAAAGACACATACATGGTACTTAAAAGTCATAATGTAAAATTATATATATATATATATCCAACATGCAAATATTCTACAACTCTTTGCCAGTTATTTGTGTAGCTACACAAAACACCAAACAACTCAAAAGTTAATTTATATCTGGCTTAAGATTTCTTTTTGTGTTTTGTATGTTGCGTGTTGGGGTTGGTAGAAGAGTGTGTCTAATAATCTGACTTAAACCTCTAATTTGATTGACATTGGTCCCTGCCCAACATTACTTGCCTCTCATCCAAACACAATGGCCAGCAGAGCAAGGGTAGCGCACCAGGCAATAATGACACCCAACTGGCCCCCTGCATCCATGAGGAAATAATTTACCACTTAGCAGCAGGTTTGCCCCTGGCCTTGGTGTCCTTACTATAAAGTGTATTATTCCACAGGTTTGTTTAAGAATTTAATATAAAATAGGGGCACCTGGGTGGCTCAGTTGGTTAAGTGTCCAACTTCGGCTCAGGTCATGATCTCATGGTTTGTGGGTTCAAGCCCCGCATCGGGCTCTGTGCTGACAGCTCAGAGCCTGGAGCCTGCCTCAGATTCTGTGTCTCCTTCTCTCTCTGACCCTCCCCTGCTCATGTTCTCTCTCTCTCTCTCAGAAATAAATTTTAAAAAAACATGAAAAAATTAAAAAAAAATAGAATTTAATATAAAATATATAAAGTACTTAGAACAGTGCATGGAACACGAAAGTCTTCAATAACAGTAGCTACTATTTTTATTATTGGCCACTATTATTAATATGCTAATTGTTGATATTCTTAATTAATATACACTGGAGGCAATGGTTTTGCCTACCTTAGACCATATGGAGCTATTTTAAACAGTAATGTTTTATTCATTAAAAATTTTTTTAACCTTTATTTATTTTTGAGAGAGAGAGACAGAGTGTGAATGGGGGAGAAACAGAGAGAGGGGAGACACAGAATTCAAAGCAGAATCCAGGCTCTGAGCTATCAGCAAAGAGCCCGATGTGGGGCCCAAACCCACGAACTGAGCCAAAGTTGGATGCCCAACCGACTGAGCCACGCAAGCGCCCCTAAACAGTAATGTTTTAAATGAGCTATTAATAATCATACTGAGATACATTACCTTTTAAATCTCTTCCTTCAATTCTTGGAGATATAGGACATCTCATGAAGCAAGTTAACCTAAGCCAATTTTACCATCCATCCAGAAGCCAGTTTGCAAAGCTCTGATCTATTTGTGTTACAAAAGATAAGCTGTGCTCTCATTTCTACTCATATAAATTAGTTTTTCTTTTCTGTCTAAATCTTTCAGGGAGCATTAGTTTGCCTTGTGCTTACTAGTCAATATATAATCCCTGGAATTAAAACCAGAGAAACTATAAGACAAATGAAAACCAATTTTGAGACTTCAACACAGAGATTAATAATGCTAACAACATATGAGACAAATATATATATATATGATCAGAATGAGCTACACCACTCACCACTTTCCCTGTGTTGATGAATCATCTTACAAGTAGGTAATAGAAGAAAGGAAGTAGTAATGATAAAACTCTCCCAACACTGAATACCTCAAAAATACCATGAGAATCAAGTACAGATTATCTACATGCAGTGATAAAAGTAAACACATCACTTGTTTGTCATAGGAGGCCAATCAGGAATTCATTAGGACCAGGAGTAGTGGTGGGTGTTTTTCACCTGACACCTACTTATGCGTATTCTGACTCTTGGCCCCCAGCTGGAGAGAATGCTCTGTATCAGGACACACCTTAATTCCTCCTGCTCCCTCTCAGCTCCTCCACTGCAACTCAAGCACCTCTTCAGCTTTTCTGTTACACCAGGCATGGTTTCCCACAAGAGTCCACGTTTAGGAGAAAGCAGCAAAAGACTGAACTATTCTGATAGTACACATGAGGACCTCCCCCACCTCAGCCTCTTACCTGCAGCATCTGCGCCTTCTGCAGGCACACTCTGGGTCGACGCTGGGGCTGCGTCCTTGAGTCCATGCACCTGAGCAGCTTCTTCCTGGTTTGTCAAAAATGCAGAGCACAGATCAGTTTCCAGGGCTTGGAGCTTTAGCAAAGAATTCTGCCAGCAAAAGCAGAACATCAGGCTAGCTAAGTAACTGCCTAATACACAACAGTGAGTCCGCAGCTTCCGCAGAACACCTTCCTCCAGCACCTGGCAGAGGGAGGATCTCAACCACAGTTGCTTCAGGCAGAGCTGATTGTACCAGAATCAGGTACACTTTATTCCACATGCAGCCTCAGTTTCTGCCTCATTTCAATCCTAACGTATTTGGCTTTATATGTCACACATAGGACTGGTGATTTCGTCAGCAAGAGATGCTGCGCCAAGAGAACCAATCTGGGATGGTGTCTGCTTTCTGGGTGCTTGAGGCTTACACTTTGTTTCATTCATTGTGCTGACATCAGAAGCAAGTGATATTAGGCCCCTCCCAGGCTACCATTCATAAAAGCCAGCATCCCTTAACCTCTGAAGACTGCAGCAGACCGCAGTGCATAAAGAGTTACTGCTGCAGAGGCTGCCTGGCATCTGGGAGGTGCTTCTAGGCTCCCTGATCTACATCTGTATGTGGGGGGTGGTATATGCATGCATGTGTGTGTGTCTTCTGAAGTTGTTTCTCTCACATGGAATGGCTATTATCACTGCCTTTATCAAGAGTAGAGTGGAGTGAGCAAGGCAGAGGTCCCTGGTCACTGAGTATAACCCAGCCACTGAGGGAGAAGCAATTTCCGAGCTTCCAGAACAACACTACCCCACCCCCTTCATTTCCCATTTTAAATTTCTCCCATGGTTTTTAATAAGAACAGAGTCAGAGTGATGCACATATCCTGCCATGATGCAGATGCCCAGAAAATTAATTCCCCTAACCAGGTGAAAGTGAGTCACGCCTGAGGCCTTGGCCAGGAGCCACTCCCCTGCAACAGCAAAGCTCTGCAGGCCTCAGCAGCCCCTCCACCCACAGAGCTTCTGGCAGGGGGGCTACCTGGAGTGGAACCAGTGATCCTGTGCCTACTATGACCCTCCCATACACACACACACACACACACACACACACACACACACACACACACGCTACTTACACCCTACCCCACACATACCTTCATACCCAACCATCACACTCTACTCCATACACATACCCCATCCGTATTCCACACATACCCTCACACCCTACCCTATACATACCTTCACCCCCTGTTCTCCACACCCTCATGCCCAACCCCATATCTTCACACTACTTTGCACATACACTGCAACCATCAAAAAACCCCATATATACTCTCATTCCTACCTTTCACACTCATCCCTTGTAACCCCTACTACACACACACACGCACATGTACATGCACACAGAAACACCCTCTCTTACACCCCACATACAGCCTCATACTCAACTCCCACTCTCACATCTATTCAGTACACACACACCTTTACCCCCATATACACACTCATACCTTACCTTACATAACCCCCTACCCCCAACATCTTCTCACACTGAACTCCTCCCCTTATACAATGCCCATTCCTATACCCATACCCTTATCCATGCTGTTGATGTGAGTAAATACGAACCCAGAACAGTGTTTTCAAAGTTGTTCACTGCTAAGTGGGCTCCAGATACCACCTTATGCTATCCTCAGAGATGAAGGTACAAACCTCCTCTGTGCTTCAGGGGCTGCTCATTGACACCACAGCTAAGATGAGGCATCTACCTGAGACCAGATCACTTTTTTACTGTTCTCTCCTCCTTTCTGGGATGTTCTCCCAGCAGCTCAGTGTGGAAGTAAGAGCCTGAGGTTACTGACAGGAGGTACAGAGGAACAAGAACACCAAGCTTCTGAAAAGAGTTCTAAGCAGCTGGGAAGCAAAAAGAACGATCTCAGACAAGCTTCCTACTGGAGGACCTTGGAGATCAGTGTGACCTTTAAAAAAGAGCAAAACTGTTCTGAAGATTAAGAAATGATGCCATGAGAATGTAAAAGGGTATAGCTGCTACAGAAAACAGTATAACATTTTCTCAAAAAAAATTAAAAAAGAACTACCATATGATCCAGCAGTTTTGGGACTGTGTATACACCAAAAGAATTAAGAGCAGGGACTCGAAGAGATATTTGTACACCTATATTCATAGCAATATTCACAAAAGACAGGAGGTATTTTGTGAAATGAATTGTGTTTTCCCCAAATGTATATGTTGAAGACCTAATGCTCAGCATAACTGTATTTGGAAATTTTAATGGTAAAATGAAGTCTAAGGCTGTGGTCCTAAGTCAATATGATCAGTATAATTATAAGTAAAGAGTGAAAGAGACACCAGGGATTCACACACAGAGAAAGGCCACATGAGAAGGTGGCTCTTTGCCAGCCAAGGAGAAAAGCTTCAGGAGAAACCAACTCTTCCAGCACCTTGACTTTCAGTCTCCAGAACTGTAAGAAAAAAAAATGTTTGTTGTTTCAGCCACCCAGTCTTTTTTTAATGGCAGATTAATACAAGGTTAGAACCAACCCAAGAGTCCATTGACAGATGAATTGCTAAAATGCAATATACATATAATGGAGTATTGTTTAGCTTCAAAAACAAAGGAAATTTTGACACATGTTACAACAAAGATGAAGCTTGATGATATTCACAAAGTGAAATAAGACATTCACAAAAGGACAATATCTAGGGTAGTAAAAATCATAGAAACAGAAAATGGTGGTTGCCAGGGATTGGTGGTGAAGGAAAGAAATTTTAGTTAAAAGGGCACAAAATATGCCTGAGAAGATGAATAAAGTTCTCGAGCTAGATGGTGGTGATGGTTGAACAATGTGAGTGTACTTGGTACCAATGAACTGTATATTTGAAAATGGTTAAAGTGGTAAATGTTATACATATTTTACTACAATTAAAAAAATAAAAGTGAAGAGAAAGAAGAAAGAAAGGAAGAAAATAAAGAAAGAAAGAAATTCCTCCCCTCATTTAGAGGGAGGATGTAGAACCAGCCACTTCTTGCAGACTCTATGTTTTCTTGTATATTCTACAAAGCAGAAAAAGACATGTCAGCTCTGCTACATCCTATTCATCTGACTTTGGGCAAGCATCTGGGCAATAAAAAAGGCAATAATAGTAACAATGACACCTGTTGTAAGAATTAAGTGGAAGAATGCATGAAATGCACTTTATACAGCATCACCATAGAGTAAACACTCAAGAAATGAACACTGGGTTTATTATGAATTATCTCCACACCTCAGAGGCTGCTGGATAGAGCTCTGGTCATGTGCAAGGCCAAACTCTACACCAATTCTGAGGTCTTGACTCATAACTTTATCTCCCAGGGCCCAACTCTCTGCATCTACCTATAAAGGGCCTGAGACTGGATGACTTCTAAGTTCCTTTCCAACTTTATTTTTTTTAATTTTTTTAAATGTTTATTTATTTTGGAGAGAAAGAAAGTGCGTGAATGGGGGAGGGACAGAGAGAGAGGGTAAAGCAGGCTCCAGGCTCTGAGATGTCAGCACGGAGCCCGACGTGGGGCTCAAATCCATGAACTGTGAGATCATGACCTGAGCTGAAGTTGGATGCTTAACCGACTGAGCCATCCAGGTGCCCCCCTTTCCAACTTTAAATGAAAAAAAAAAAAAAAAGCAAACATGCATATACTGAAGATAGTGCACAGAATCTGGCACAGAGTGGGTGCTTAGACAATGTTTCTGGAACTGAATAAGGCTTAAATAGCAAAGAATTTCAATGCATAGGATTATGTCAGCTCACATTCACATTCAGAGGCTTCTGAACTCTCACAGGGAGTGAGGCATAATGCTGAGACCCAGTTATGGCTAGAAGTGGTAACTGGGTTGTCATCTATATTGCTCTCCCACTTTCTCCCTCCCTTGTACTCAGACTGAAGCAAAATCAAGACTTGCTTGATTAAGTTTGCCAAAGGAGATCCATCTGCATGGCTTGTTTATTCCCTTCTGAGAAACCATATAAGAGTAAGATTAAAGGAATGGAGAAGAAAACAAGTGACAATGAAACAGGAGAGAGAAGATGAAGGTCTCAAGGGACAAGTAGAAGGGGGAAAAAATAAGCTGCTATAACTGAAGACAAGAAAGCAAAATGGAAGAGATTCTGCAGGCCAGCTATCATCAACGATATCCATTTCCCACCCCAAACTGACCCCATTACCTGAAGATGACCTGCTGCTCCCCAGAACAGCAATAGAAAGTGGAAACTCAGACACTGTGTGTGGAGCAAGTCCATAAAGGGATACCTCTCCTGATGACCAGGAAACCAGGACAGGGAGTGAGGCTGGGGACTTTACCTGTGAGCAATCTATGCCACTGTCATGTGTCCTTCCAGTGGGCAACAGAAGACATCTGGCCAGTCCCATCAGGGCTGAGCCCCACAGAGCCACCCTTAAGAAGGCCCATGGACAACTCATACTGCACACGCAAGGGTCATGCTTCTACATGGATGTAACACCACACAAGCAGCTTCCAGGCTCTAGCAGCTTTCAATGCACAGAGAGATGCACTAGGCTCTAGTGAGACTGATGTGAGACCCTTCTTAGTGAGGCTTCCACTCTCTACTAAGGAGACAGCCATAAAACAAGGAAACAAATCAAACAATAATGTCAGTTTCTACTGTCATAGGGTGATGGAGGAAAGAAACCATAAGCCCAAGGAAAGAGTAAACACCTCTTTCACTCTGATCATCCCTGACTTTATTCTTTAATGTAGGAACATGATTTTTGTCCCACAGAAAAATTAAGGACAGTAAATCCCTGGTGTCCTTCCGCTACCTCAATGCAACTCTTCTCTCACTAGGACCTCCACCCTCTGTGAAGCTGCCCCCAGCACATCCCTCAGGGCTGGCCTGCTAGCACTTTTCCATATTTATATTCCAAGTCTCCATGAATTGATCTCTAGGATATGCAGGAAAATTGAACAAAGACTGATGGATCTTCTAAAGAAAAATGATCACCCCTCCTTCCTACCTCTTGCATCTGGGTATG